CAAGTTACAAATATGAGCAACATAACCAATATCAAATACCCAGGCGCTACTACGAGCATTAGTAAGGTACACAACAATAACATGTATATCAAATATACTTTTCACTTTGCCATCCTTCTTATCCGCCAAATACTTGGGGCAGTTCCGCTTTCAGTGACCAGTCCCTTTGCAGTAGAAGCACTCGGTTTTGGGCTTATGTCCAGACTTGGGCTTATTCCCTTGAGCAGCAACTTGCTTGTTGTTCTTCTTGAAGTTCCCCTTCTTCCCTTTACCTTTTTTCTTGAAACTAGTGGTCTTTGTTCACCATCAGCACTTGATGCTCCTTCTTGATTTCTACCTCCGTAGCTTTTAGCAGCACGAAGAGCTCGGGAATTGTCTTTTCCATCCCTTGCATATTATAGTTCATCATGAAGCCTTTACAGCGTGGTGGTTGAAGAACTCTGTCAATGACACTATCATCAGGAAGATTAACTCCCAGCTGAGTCAAGTGGTTATGGTACCTAGACATTCTGAGTATGTGTTCATTGACATAACTGCTCTCCTCCATCTTGTAGCTATAGAACTTGTTGGAGACTTCATATCTCTCAACTCGGGCATTTTCTTGAAATATTAATTTCAACTCCTGGAACATCTCATATGCTCCATGATGTTCAAAACGTCTTTGAAATCCCGATTCTAAGCCATAAAGCATGGCACACTGAACTATCGAGTGCTCATCAGCTTTGCTCTGTCATATGTTCATAACATTCGGAGTTGCTCCTGGAGCGGGTCTTGCACCTAGCGGTGCTTCCAGGACGTAATTCTTCTGTGCAGCAATGAGGATAATCCTAAAGTTACGGACCCAGTCCGTGTAGTTGCTACGATCATCTTTCAACTTAGCTTTCTCTAGGAACGCATTAAAATTCGAGGGAACGGTGGCACGGGCCATTGATCTACAACAACATAGGTATGCAAAAACTATTAGGTACTAAGTTTCATGAGAAATTAAAGTTCAATTATTCATATTACTTAAGAACTCCCACTTAGATAGACATCCCTCTAGTCATCTAAATGATCACGTGACCCATATCAACTAAACCATGTCCGATCATCACGTGAGATGGAGTAGTTTTCAATGGTTTACACCACTATGTTGATCATATCTACTATATGACTCACGTTCAACTTTTCGGTCTCAGTGTTCCGAAGCCATATATGCATATGCTATGCTCGTCAAGTTTAACCCGAGTATTCTGCGCGTGCAAAACTGGCTTGCACCCGTTGTATGTGAACGTAGAGCTTATCACACCCGATCATCACGTGGTGTCTCGGCACGACAAACTGTTGCAACGGTGCATACTCAGGGAGAACAGTTATACCTTGAAATTTAGTGAGGGATCATCTTATAATGCTACCACCGTACTAAGCAAAATAAGATGCATAAAAGATAAACATCACATGCAATCAAAATATGTGGCATGATATGACCATCATCATCTTGTGCCTTTGATCTCCATCTCCAAGGTACCATCATGATCTCCATCGTCATCGGCATGACACCATGATCTCCATTATCTTGATCTCTATCAACGTGTCGTCACATGGTTGTCTCGCCAACTATTGCTTTTGCAACTATTGCTATCACATAGCGATAAAGTAAAGCAATTATATGGCGCTTGCATCTTATGCAATAAAGAGACAACGATAAGGCTTCTGCCAGTTGCCGATAACTTTAACAAAACATGATCATCTCATACAACAATTTATATCTCATCACGTCTTGACCATATCACATCACAACATGCCCTGCAAAAACAAGTTAGACGTCCTCTACTTTGTTGTTGCAAGTTTTACGTGGCTGCTACGGGCTTCTAGCAAGAACCGTTTTTACCTACGCATCAAAAACACAACGATTTTTCGTCAAGTGTGCTATTTTAACCTTCAACAAGGACCGGCCGTAGTCAAACTCGGTTCAATTAAAGTTGGAGAAACAGACACTCGCTAGCCACCTGTGTGCGAAGCACGTCGGTAGAACCAGTCTCATGAACGCGGTCATGTAATGTCGGTCTGGGCCGTTTCATACAACAATACCGCCGAATCAAAGTAAGACATTGGTGGTAAGCAGTATGACTATTATCACCCACAACTCTTTGTGTTCTACTCGTGCATATCATCTACGCATAGACCTTGCTCGGATGCCACTGTTGGGGAACGTAGTATGCAATTTCAACAAAAATCCTACCCTCACGCAAGATCTGTCTAGGAGATGCATAGCAACGAGACGGGGAGACTGTGTCTACGTACCCACGTAGACCGAAAGCAGAAGCGTTATGTTAACGCGGCTGATGTAGTCGAACATCTTCACGATCCAACCGATCTAAGTACCAAACATACGGCACCTCCGTGTTCAGCACACGTTCAGCTCGATGACGCCCCTCGAGCTCTTGATCCAGTAGTGGGTTGACAGAGAGTTCCAACAGCACGACGGCGTGGTGACGGTGATGGTGATGTGATCCGCGCATGGCTTCGCCTAAGCACTACGACGCTATGACCGGAGGAGTAAACTGTGGAGGGGGACACCGCACACGGCTAAGAGAAATCTTAGTGTGCCTTTGGGGTGCCCCCCTCCCCCCTCCCCCATATATAAAGGGGGAAGGAGGAGGCCAGCGGCCAGGAGGGGCGCGCCAAGGGGGGGTCCTACTTGGACTCCTAGTCCAAGTAGGATTCGCCCCCGCCCCCTTTCCTTTCTTCACCGGAGGGAATAGGAAGGAGAGGGAGAGTGAAAGGGAAAGGGGGGCGCGCCCCCTAGTCCAATTCGGACTGCCATGGGGGGGGGGGGCAGCCACCCCTTGCGTCCCTTCTCACTTCTCCACTAAAGCTCACTAAGGCCCATTATTCCCCCGAGGGGTTCCGGTAACCCCTCGATACTCCGGAAAAATATCAGAATCACTCGGAACCATTCCGATGTCCGAATATAACCTTCCAATATATCAATATTTACCTCTCGACCATTTCGAGACTCCACGTCTCCGTGATCTCATCCGGGACTCCGAACAAACTTTGGTCACCAAAACACATAACTCATAATACAAATCGTCATCGGACGTTAAGTGTGCGGACCGTACGGGTTCAAGAGCTATGTACACATGACCGAGAGACATCTCCGGTCAATAACCAATAGCGGAACCTGGATGCTCATATTGGTTCCTACATATTCTACGAAGATCTTTATCGGTCAAACCGCATAACAACATACGTCATTCCTTTTGTCATCGGTATGTTACTTGCCCGAGATTTGATCGTCGGTATACCTAGTTCAATCTCGTTACCGGCAACTCTCTTTACTCGTTTTGTAATGCATCATCCCGCAACTAACTCATTAGTCACATTGCTTGCGAGGCTTATAGTGATGTGCATTATCGAGAGGGCCCAGAGATACCTCTCCAATACACGGAGTGACAAATCCTAATCTTGATCTACGCCAACTCAACAAACACCTTCGGAAACACCTGTAGAGCATCTTTATAATTACCCGGTTACGTGTGACATTTGATAGCACACAAAGTGTTTCTCCGGTATTCGGGAGTTGCATAATCTCATAGTCAGAGGAATATGTATAAGTCATGAAGAAAGCAATGGCAATAAAACTAAATGATCATAATGCTTAAGCTAACGGATGGGTCTTTTCCATCATATCATTCTCTAATGATGTGATCTCGTTCATCAAATGACAACACATGTATATGGTTAGGAAACTTAATCATCTTTGATTAACGAGCTAGTCAAGTAGAGGCATAATAGGGACACTCAGTTTTGTCTATGTATTCACACATGTACTAAGTTTCCGGTTAATATAATTCTAGCATGAATAATAAACATTTATCATGATATAAGGAACTATAAATAACAACTTTATTATTGCCTCTAGGGCATATTTTCTTCAAATATAGACGTAAACACAGACGCGTATGCATACCCACATACACTCGCCTTTATGAACATCTCCGAGAGAATGAGCCGGCACATCATTTTAAGATTGAAGAAGTTGCCTCAGACGTCTTCTTAGTCCACGAAAACGTCTCCTCCTACTGAATGTACATTGCCGGAAGGCCCGAAATAAATTCAGAAAAATGCGACCACCAATGTGAAGTATATGACTTGAAGCGTGATGGGCTAGGTATACCACTATCCTTCTAATCATTCAATCACAAGTTGGTTCGCACGGGGATCTTGAGTTGTACCATGTTTTGGATTTGTACTATATGCTGCTTAGGCTAGTCGTAATTAACGGTGAGTATCATATACTAGTATCATGCATATGATATATGATACTACGTCTATAATGCATGGTATCATAAGTTAGTATCTTAGGTTGCTTTATTAATTGTCATGCATGGCACAAAGTAATACAACATTAAATATGATACGATGTCACGATATGATACCACATCCTCTCTTTCCTCATTTAATGGTGTGCCACATCATCCAAAAAATCTACTAGTTGGCATGCATGGTTTCACTTATGATACTCTCATTACGACCAACCTTACACACGGTACAGTTCTGATTTTCCTGTCTGCCTGGTAATTACTCGGGAGACGATCAGACACTCAGTTAGAGAGTCGGGTAGTAAGCTGATCAGTCACTGGCCGCATGCATACCAGCATACACTGGCAGGCTATCTGTTGGTTAATTTGCGCTTCTAGACTTCTAGTGACTAGGTCAAGAATTATCATTTGATCAAATCAATGTATGCATGTAGCCAATCAATGGCAAAACCGTCCTGAGCCGGCCATGCATGAGTTCCACCAATGGAGGGGCGGTGTACGCTATGCCCGCTCGTCGTCACCCTAGGTATTACCTTGATTTGATCGTATATATTCTCGGCAGCAAATCCTATAAGTGCCATCGGCTGATCGAGTAAATGTACACAATATTCCTTCAGCCAGCCGCCAATATCGAGCACAAGTTCACCAGTGATTTCACTACATTCTCGCAAGGAGCTGAGCGAGGAGGTGTTGATGGCGAAGACATCGTGGCCTGAGGTGGTGGGGTGGCCGGAGCTGAACGCGGCGGACCAGATCAACATCGACCGGCCGGACGTGTCGGTGGGGTTCTACATGGAGGGCTCCCCGCTGCCGTCCGGGTACGACCCCCGGCGCGTAGTCATCATCGTCAACGCGTCCGGCGTGGTCATCAGGACCCCCGTCGTCGGCTAGCTGCTGGCCTTCAGTCCGGCTGGGTACGTACATGCGGGGGTGTGCATACTAACACTCCCTGCAACCTGAGTACACTAGAGCTGTTGTGTTCCATATACGACCGTGCATATGTATCCCAACTGTTGGGGGTTCTGTATGAGGCCTGTAATCCCTTGATCATGAGGTGCACATGAATAAATTTCAAGGAAACTCCATTTTGATCTTCTTTTTTATATGAGCAAATCTATAAATACAAGGAGGCAGCCCTCAATGCAAGAATTATTATACCATTCACATTGTTAGACTTTTGTGATGTTAAAATTGGATATCACCAAAGCCTTTGACACGGTGGGCTAGGCCTTGTTACTCGAGATCCTCACCAAGGTGGGTTCACATAGAGGTGGTTAGCTTGGGTGGCGGGGCTCCTCGCCTCGGCCTCCACAAGGGTGCTTCTAACCGTTGTCCTC